GGCAGAAAAATATGAAATGGTAAATATAAAATATATTACCATATTTGGAAGCGGTATTATAGAAAGAAAGAAAAAACGATAAAACCTTATAAAAACAAATAAAATATGAGGTGGAGTATGCTTGTTGACATAGAGGTTAAGGTATTGAATTTAGTTTTTAATTTTAGTTAAGATACTAATAATCTTTTTCAAAGATTATGATGAAGTTTTTTATTTTCTTTTAAAGTTTTGTCTTTTATAATCCACTCCACATTGAATAAATTGAAAATTGAAATCCCCGTTAGTAAAGGACAGATTCATTGTCTTAAATTCAGATTGACAACTTTTGTTGTTTTTTTCCAATCAGATTGACAACTATGTAAGGCAATAAAATCAGATTATAATATATCGCCAGAAGCAATATATTTTCTTGACGCTTTGCAGGAAGATTGACATTTCCCCTAGACACGAATGAGTCCTATCAACATTGAAGTCGTATCCAAATTATTATCAACATGATTAATCAATATGGTTGATCGAGGAAAATGCTTACAGATTCGTTAAACCATTGTACCAAATAAAGAAGAAAATACAAGGAAGGTTGTAATTAAGGCTCCACGATAAAATTTATTTCAAATTCATTGTCTACAAGGGATGTACTTGTATATATAGAATTGAAAGTATTTAATAGAATATCACTCCTAAAATATACTCCTAAGTATCCTTTTGAATTCTCCCTACTTAATACAGATTCTAAATCTAAAAGAACTATTGTTGACTAGTATAAATACACCATTTTAATTATTACATACTTTATTCTCTAGCCCACTGGTTGAGTCTTAAAAGTTGCTTACTAACTTAACTGCCAGAGAGCCTTTGGTTAGTACCCCACCGATGTCTAGGTTGTCTTACAATCATTTGCTCTTTTAAAGGTAATCAAGTTTGTGCATCTCCTCCACATAGTGGTGCACGAATTTGGTTCTAGCAATATTCCATATAAAATTCGGGTAGTCTACACATATTTTTAACATATTATTGAAGAAATAAATAAAAAATTGTAATAAATTTTCTTTTAAGATTATCAAAAAATGGCCAAAATTTTCAAAGTATTTGTTTGTTTAGCAACGTTGTTGGTCAATAATATACGTACATATTTTTCATGTGCCACAACATTAACATCCGAATTTTACTAACTATATGGGTGTATCAAACATATAATGGTGTATGTTAATGTATTTTACATGTACTATTGTATTTAATTAGACACATAACTGACGAGTTTGATGATTAATATTTTTATTATAAGTGATATGACTATTCTAAACTATTCGAAGCTTAAACGCAACGAAGAAAATATAAACATCAAAAAATGCATTTGTAGAGAGAATGAGATTAAAGATTCATGCATTCAAAATGATTCTTTGCACCTTTTTAATTACAAATTGAATAACGAAAGTGGGATAATCAATGGGAATGAAATTAATGATCATTCTAAACGCAAAATGATCGTTTTTTCTTCTCTCTGCCTTAATGGGGAGAGGTTGGGCTCTCCATCTTTCTAGTGAATTCTCACTTGTTCATATGTTAGCATGCTAAGTGCTTAATTTCTCCTACTTCCTTGAGCTTAATTTTTCTTCACATGTTTACTTCCATGTTTTATTTTTCTATACATCACCTGTTCAAATGTAAGCATGCCTAGTGCTTACTGAGATTGCTTAATTTAGTTTAATTGTTAATTTCTAGTTCCCTTGATTTTCTTCGTTATTTTTATGCGCTGGGCTTGCCAAGACTTGGATAGGATTTTTCTCTTCTCCTGTCAATTTTTATTTTTTTTTTACAAGAAACAATAGAGTGATTAGATTAATATAAACCAAAATATTATTAGATTACATTATCGAGCTCCAAGGAAATTAGTAGTTCCTTATGATTCATGAAGGAAATAAAGCATACTAAACCATATTTTATTTATTTATTTTTTTAACAAATGCATATAGTTTATTTAGAACACATTGTGTTATTTTCTCTCACTTCTTACGATAAACCTCGAACCTTTCGAAGTCTTGGATCTCGAAACTAGATCTTGGACTCAAGGCCGGATACAAAATCCAAACACCAAACTTGGACCTCATACACACCTAAATTCAGGACTTCGAAAATGGAAGCGATCCAAACCCAAACCCAAACCCAAACCCTGAATTCATCTTTTGACCCCTAAACCCGAAGCCAGGTGGCGTCAAACTGAAGGAAACTCTATCCTAAAGAGTTCGTTTTGTGGGTTGAATGAAATTGGGCATTAGGGATATGATTGGATTGACAGAAATTTGTAAAACAGAACTTGTAACTTATGTGTAAAGATAGGTTAGGTAACCCATTGTATTACAAATTCATAACTCATACTGTCCAACGTTGTCCATCTCATATTTTGACACAACAAACAACTAATCCGTTTTAATTGGTCATAACTTATTCCATCCAACCTTTTGGGTAAGGACTTAATTATTGCTTATCCTTATCACACTTGTATTCTTGCCTATCAAAGTTACTTATCTTGTACGTATAGTCAATAAACGCACATTTAATTTGTTGAATTCTGTAATTTTACCTCATCACAATCCAAATTTGAATGAAAAAACACCCTTGATAAGCTACTCGATAAAATCGTTTAAAATGAATTTTTTAAATAATTTTTTGAAAAGACCATGGATGGTGTTTCCCCACATAAGTGATTCTGGCTCACGAATCACTTTCCATATGGGTCAGGCATTAACGATAATGATTGTACCTAGAACGTATATATTTCAAAATAATAGAAAGGCTTTGACCAAATAAGGACTTACCCAGTTTCCACCCAAAAGATTGGAGGAGTACCTCCCCCGAAGACTACAAACACAATTGAGACCTGCCTTGGTTGCCTAATGATCTCATAATTCAGACATTTGACTTGAGTTTCTAATATTTTAATAGCAACTGAACATATAATAAATAAGGTTCTAGCTACTTCGTTTGAGTCCAGCAAATATATGCTGGTCTGTAGTTTATTTTTACAGTCTTTTATGGCAACTGTATTTTGGTTCATGTTCATTGAAGAAGCCAACTAGAGGTTTAGAACCATTATATTTTGCTTTTATGATCTTTGATGAAGCCAACTAGAGGTTTTGAAGTTAGAACCATTATATCTTGGAAAAAGTTGAAGTTTCACTATAAAAAAAATGACAATATATGAAGTAACCCAATTTCTTATAGACACATGAAAGGTTACTCATTTCCTCGATGTAAAAATTCACTCTCAACACGCCCCCTCACATGTAGCACACTTTCAAGCCTAACACGTGGATAACATACAAATCGAGTGACATAGAGCACTTGTGGCTATTGGTTTTCGCACGAGTGTAAACACAGGATTCCTGGTATGTCAAAATTAGTGTGAGTGCCATGTAAGCCCTGGCATATCTGTGGGCTTCACACAAATTGAATGACCTATGGACCATGGTACATTCCATGTAAGCCATGACATGTCAAAACTTTAATTTGTTGGTGAATATTTATTTCACCATAATTTACATGTCTGTAATGAGACAAGTTGCTCTAACACCATAAAGAACGTTGAGATTCCCACAAAATTAATTGATAATATGAAAAGTAAATCAACTAATTATTGGGGCATACAAGGTCTCTCATTTTTCCGATGCTAAATTCACTCTCAACGATTCTTGTCTAAACTACTTTAATTTATTCTACTTAAAAAACTTTCTCGTAACCTAGAAGTAAGGGATCGAGTACGTTGTCTTATGTGTATGATATGTTGCAACTTGCAAGTAAGAACTTAAACTAAATATTACGAAGGGTATATGCTAGTGTAGACATTTTGATATTCTTTTGATCAAATGAGATAATTTAGTAAAAAGATGAAACAACATTGGAAATACAATACAACAACAAAGAAAACACGAGAAAAAACCACAGAAAAGGATTGGAAGGTTTGGCTTTGTCTTTTCCATTGAGCCCTCCTCAATGGAATTGGATTGGCTTTTTGTGCGCAGAAAATGACTGGGAAGAAAGTGGCATTCGGATTTCGTTTTTATGAAGGACGGCAAATGGGACAAGTGGTGAATAAAAATCCTTTCTGGTCTTTTGTACACAAGGCATTTTTACTAGGTTTTGACATAGTCGTTCGATAATATCTTAAACTTATCTTGATATTTTTTGTTTGGGCAAATGCTATTCACAATCTCAAAACTCTCCGTTCTTTTTGTGAATGTAACTAAATTGCGGGGGTGCATAACACATTTTTTATTAGTTCATATTAACTGTTTTTGTGAATGTTTTACGATAATGAAATATTGAGTTTCGAATGCAGAATGACAAATTGAGTGTGCTAATAAGAATTAATTTTTATTTTTAGCAAAGTTTAAATATCATGACTACAGTCCAACTAATACTAAGGCCTTTTGTGATAAAATCTCATACCTATTGAACTATGCATGTGGTAATTAACAAGTTGGGGACGATATCGATGTTATTGAAAGTGGTAATTTGACATGGTATTAGAGTTAGGGAGCAGGCCAGCATTACCAAATGATAGGTGGGTCACCTTGGTCCCATGCGACGATAATGGGTCCCTTGGCCACGTGTGTTGCGTGAGTCTCCTTGACTCCATGTGGTTGCCAATGCGTGGATCTCCCACGTGTGGCCCACTAATTGGGTCCTATGAGGGGACATGTTGAATTATCCCACATCGGGTAGAGACGGAGAAAAATAAAAGTTTAGACATCTTAATCTCAGTCCAACTAATATCGAGGCATTTGTAGTAAAACTCCACACATATCGAACTATTCATATGATAATTAATAAGTTATGGACAATATCGTTGTTATGATTAAACTAATACTAAGACTTTTGTAGTAAAACCTCACACATATCGAACTATACAAGTGGTAAAAATGAGTCTTCTGTCGTCTCTCTCATAATTTGACAGTGGCATCTTATAACATGGATTGCTTTTCAAGACTAAATTAAGGTGTGACACCATGAAAGCGAAAAGCACTCACTCACCCACAAGCTTCCCCAGTTGTTCTTCTCGTCCATAATATTATATGCACCCACTATCCCACAAAACAACACAACCACATCTGATCCAACCCCATTATTAAAACCAAATCTGCAGAACTTGTAACAGACTTCAACCCCATCATTAAAACCCATACAGAAATAAAGAAACTGCAGAGGAAACTTGTTTTTGTTTCTTCTTCATTTTCCATGTGTGAAGGTATGCGTTCTCTGATGATTCTTTCGTTGCTTTGCTATGGGCTGTACTGGGCAACTCACAGCCACAAGTCATCAATCTCAGTGGCTTCATTGAGCACCGAAGAAACCCTTTTTGTGAATAAAACAGCTGCAATTGGAGCTACAGATGATGACTTTATCTGTGCCACAATTGATTGGTGGCCTCCTCAGAAATGTGATTACGGAACTTGTAGTTGGGGCTCTGCTTCTCTTCTCAATCTGGTAAGCCTATTATATATCCTTCTTTTTTTTTTTGTGCAATTTATGTCATGTGTAGTATACTATAGTTCGAAGTGCGTAGTAGTTAGCACTTTGTTAACTTACTAACCAGTCGTTGCTTCAACTCTGCGCATCCAATATAGGTCTGTTTTCTGTATTCTGTATAGTTCAAATTAGTAGTAGTTAGCTTTGTATTAACGTACTAACCACAACAGTTACTCAAATACTACCCATTTTGGTTTGATTCTCCTAATACTCATTTAACTGCTGCTGCACTATTAAAATTTACTTTGACGGTATTTTTCCGTCCGTACATTGATTGACGTTATTGCTAACCTTTTCCTGACAGTATTAAACCGCAATTTATCTAGAAAAAAAAGTGTTGAACCAGCCAGTGTTTGTAATGGCCTTCTCAGTTTGACCCTTAAAAGTTAGAGGATTATGATGTTAATACCTTTATTTATTTATTTTTTAGTTTTACTTTATTAGGGGGATCAACGAGAGCAAAACTATTATAATAATATAAGAGTTAAAGAGTTTTAAACTCAGACTGCGTGGTTAAAAATTCAATACTTATGATCACTACAAGTCTACAATAACACTCATTTTTTAGCTTTATTCTTTTTGGTTATGAGTCCGGATTCTTGTCGGATCTTCTTTGTGAGGATTCTGAGGATCTATGAATCTTGTCCATTTATTGTACATCTTACGGTTAGAAATCATTTTAAATATTTTTATTTAAAAATAAACATAAATTAGTACTTGATAAAAACTGACCACACGATGTACGATGAATGAACACGATTTACAAATTCCATGATCCTCACCAAAGAGATCCAGAGAGAGGATCCTGTTGGTTTGGTTATGATTTGTCAACTAGTACAATTGACCCACCCAAGATGCTATTCTCATTTCTCAGCACGAAATTGCAACTTGCAGAAAAAGGTTATGCACGAAATTGCAACTTTCAGAAAAAGGTTATGCACGAAATTGCAACTTTCAGAAAAAGGTTAAGAAAAAGATGATGCTTATCAAGAAGCATAATATCTCTTTTATTTTTTTGGGCAAAAGAAACAAAGAAGCATAATTTCTCCCTTTACTATTACACATTTTTTATTCTTTTTATCTAATTAATTATTTCATAACTATATTATTTACTAATTCTAATATGTATTTTCTTGTTTTTCAATTGTTGGTAGGATCTTGACAATGCTATATTTTTAAATGCTATAAAAGGTAAACAAGTCATTGCTTCAACTTATACACACAAAGGCAATATACATATGGGTGTGATATCCACACATCATTTTTTATTTCCCACACACCTCTTGTCGATCCGATGGCCGAAAATTAGAAAGGTAAGTGAGAAGTAAAAAAAGATGTATGGATATCACATCCCTATATATATATTATAGATAATCCAAAACAGTCTCTACTAACAGAAGTGTATAATTCCATTATTTTGTTGCAGCATTTGCACCCTTGAAAATTAGGTTGGGTGGCACTTTACAAGATAAAGTCACATACCTGGCGGACGGAAGTCAACCACCTTCCACCTCATTTGTCAAAGATGGTTCACAATTGTTTGGTTTCTCTCAAGGTTACTTACCAATGCCTAGATGGGACCAACTAAACAGTTTCTTCAATAAAACTGGGTATAATTCCCCCCTTAATTATACTTAAATCTTCTCATGAAACCATATCACTATATTAATTAACCATAACATGATATAATTTTTTATTTTTTTTTGAAACAGGGCTGTTATTATTTTTGGTTTAAATGCACTCATAGGTAGAAACATAGACTCCAATGGTGCAGCTACTGGTGCTTGGAATTCAACCAATGCAGAAACCTTAATAAGATATACAGTCGACAAGGGATACACAATTCATGGTTGGGAACTTGGTAAGAACTTTTACGCATTATATTTGGTTACTCACAATATTCGACCGGGCTTAACTACTTTTAACCACTTGAGTTGCAAGTCTTTTGCAAAATTTGTACACATTAATTGTCGGTCCAAATGCGAAACTAAAGCTTTACTTGGAATAAATTTCAGGAAATGAACTGAGTGGGAATGGAGTTGGAACAAAAGTTTCAGCAGACCAATATGCAGCAGACACACACACTCTCCATGAAATACTGCAGAAAATTTATGCAGATTATGGATCAAAGCCACTAGTCTTAGCACCAGGAGGCTTCTTTGATGCCGATTGGTTCACAGAATTTGTTCATAAAACTCCTCCTTCCCTTAAAGTAATCACTCACCACATATATAATCTTGGTCCAGGTATATTCATTAACATAGCTAATGAATCTGCGTTTTTCAAAATCACTTTCCTTTCTCTGGAAATTCAACTTGTGGAATGACACTTTGCCTTTTTCTTTGTCTCGTATTAACTAAGGTAGTGCTGGAGATCTCGTTGACAAGATCCTAGATCCAGATGTTCTCGATGGTATTTCGCAGACCTTCAGCAGCCTACAAAACCTTGTTGAGACATCAGACACTTCAGCAGTGGCATGGGTTGGTGAAGCAGGAGGTGCTTACAACAGTGGCCATGATCTTGTTACAAATGCTTTTGTGTTTAGTTTCTGGTAATCAAACTTGTCCTCGAAACTGATTTTTCCTTCTTTAGTCTTCAAGTATGTGATGAAAAGAGGTTATGTATTTTTTTTACCAACCAAACAGGTACCTAGACCAGCTTGGTTTGGCAGCATCTTATGACACCAAAACATATTGCAGACAGACATTGATTGGTGGAAATTATGGGCTCCTTGACACCAACACCTTTCAACCAAATCCTGATTATTACAGTGCTCTTCTTTGGCATCGTTTAATGGGAAACAAGGCCCTCTCCACAAGCTTCTCTGGGACGAAGAAGATACGTGCCTATGCTCATTGTTCAAAGAAGACAGTAAGTATACATTAAACTGGACAAACATAAAGGTTATGCTTAATGAGCTAATCCGTTAAGCTAAGGTTATGCTATCACATGGTTTTTTTTTCCCTTCTGTTGTTTGATTCATTAATCGTTTCTCGCTAATATTTTCAGTTGTTAGGAGACTAACCTAATTAAGTAACTGATTTATGCAGAAAGGAATCACGGTGCTCCTCATCAACCTAGACGGTAACACTACAGTTCAAGTCCGAGTTTCGACTGATAGTACTGGCAGGCCTGTGAGTTCCGAAAGCCTTCAGAGTTCGAAAGATAGTGATGATGTAAGGGAAGAATACCATCTAACAGCTCAAGATGGGGACTTGCAGAGTAAAGTAATGCTACTAAATGGGAAAGCACTTATTGTAGATTCATCTGGGGATATTCCACCCTTGGAACCGATAACAGTCAGGCTATCAGATCCAACTACCGTGGCGCCATTCTCTATTGTATTTGTTCACGTTCCAAACACAACCGTGCCGGCTTGTGCATAGAGGCTTTTGGTGAAAGAAGGCTTGTAGATCTTTTTATTTTCATACAAAGAGATGAATAAATAGAAATAAGAAATGAATTTTAGAGGATGCAACCACGTTATAAATTAAAATTAAAAATTTATTGGTTTCTTCATGGTGATCTCCAAGAATAATATACAGTACTTCAGAGAATATGATGTTTATATAGAAGAGTTTAAAGCAATCATCTGTCCCGGCTTCGTTTTACAGCTTCACTCCTTTTATGAAGTTTGGATGCACTCAAAGCAACTTATAACGCATTCTATCTTCAAAGCGATAAATGGTGGCTGATCACTCATATATTTCATGCATTTATACCATCCATTTCTAAAGTCTTTGTGATGTTTTGTGTTAAAATTGTAGCATTTTATCTTACCTTGTGTTAATGTGCAGTTAATTTTGTTTTAGAATCAAAGAAATAAAAAAAGAAAACAAAAGAAATAAAATAAGCAAAGGGGAGTGCAGCACTGGCAGGAAGAAAAAAAAAGAGAAAAATAAACAGAGAAGAAATAAGGAGAGGGCAGAGGAAAGAAGAGACGGAAGGCAGAGGAGGACAGAGGGAGTCTGACGGGAGGCACAGAAAAAGAAAAGCAGCAAAGCACAGCAGCAGGGAGACTGACGCACAGAAGCAGAGGACAGTGCACAAAGCAGAGGACAGTGCACAGAGCAGAGGAAGTTCGGAGCAACAGAGATCTCGTCTTGTTAAAACGGGTGTTTTCTTTCTTTGTTATTCTGTTTATGGATAATTTTTTATGTATGAACATAATTATGTGTAACTAATTTATTATGCTAGAGTGAGGCCATGAGCCGCAACATGAATACGTAGTTTTATTTTTCGATTGCTTAAATGTTGTTACATGCTTGCTTTGATATTTTCAATCTCTAAAATTAAACTATCTATGTGTCTTGATGATTGAACACCATTAGGAGGCTTAGAAAAGTTATCGGATGCAATTTTGAACGAATGTCACGTTAAAATTGGTTGTGCTTCTTGTGATTGAGAATTATACTCTCCTAAGGTAAATATCATGCTCTTATGGATTATATGGTTTAACAAAAGGATTTTCACCAAGATTAATGAATCACTCATGTTTATATTTAATCCAAATGTCATGGATAAGTTGCATGTAGTGGTATACGTTTTAGCTTGAATGTCACAAGTAAAATATACACAAGGAAAATCCAACCTTCAAAGCATGTGTGTTTTCAATTATTTAAGCAATTGGAATAGCTACGTAGGAGTGTTGTTGGTAAAGGTTGAACTCTAGCATATTGTCAATCTATTTTTCTTCAGTCATTTATTTTATCTTGAATTTCCTTATTTACTAGTTTTGTTTAAGTTGAATCATTATTCTTATAAATCAATTCCCATTTTAGATATTTGTTTAAGTCACATCCAGTAATATTTAGTTTCGTCAAACTAGTGTAATTCTTAGAGTTAAATAAGTTAAATACACAAAAACTCGTAAATTGTTTATATCAGTCCCTGAGGAGATCGACCTTGCTTGAGCCATTCTATACTACAAACACTTGTTCTCTTGCAAGAATTTTCTATGGTTTAACCATTTGTTTTACAAGTGGTAAAATCGCTATCAGTGGCGTACTGCACTGATTATATATGTTGATGACATAGTGGCCACATGAGATGATGCGGATGAAGTAAGAAGGTTCTAGACGTCTCAGGCAACTGAATTTGAAACGAGAGAGCAAGGTAAATTAAAGCATTTCATGTAAAGGAAGTTGATCTAGATATATTCAAACATGACATGTTTCCGTGGACATGTCCTCTTCTTGGTATCCCTCTTCATTCTCCTCTTCATCGACATTGGAGAGCTAAGATTTTACGGGGAGGATGAGCTCGGGGACTGGAAAGTGACTCGGAATGGCAATGAGGTTGGAGAGTGCGTTGGGTGAGGTGGTTGAGAAGCGGATGAGAATCATGAGATGAACGTCTGTGCAAGTGTAAAGTAATTGCTCTCTGACTTTGGTTAGCAATGTAGGTGATCTATGTGATGTGGTTTGCAATGTAGGTGATCTATGTGACTTTTCCCATAAGATTTCTCTATTTGGTTAGTTTGCATTTGAGCTTTTTGACCGGAAAATAAAGCTAAAAACTCCACATTGTACCGTACGTGTGGGGATAGATGCAGCCAAATTGGTAAGTTTGAAATTCCCCCATGGTAAAGTTTTATATTTTTTTTATTTTTTTATTACAAGCGATATTTCTATTCTAAGTTACACTAAAAAGATGAGGAGAATTGAACCCGACGCGCTGTGAATTGGAGAAGAAAACAATATCCACGAGAGCAATCTACTACTTGCACATAGTAAATATACTTAACCTATTATTTTTTTCTTTTCCTTCCAAAATTACTTGGTACACAAAACACATTTGCCAAGGAGAACAAAAAACCTCACAAACTTTCCTAGTTTTCAAAACGTGTATTTAGTAACCCAACCCATGTTGTTGAGGAAAGCCGTAATCATGGAAGTTTCCCACGTAAACTAGGAACATATCAAAAGCATCCCTATAAATAATACATACCGATCGAAAAGGTTGATTATTTACAAGTTTACGAACCAAAATTAAGACATCATGGCAAGCATGCTCTGTTCTCTTGCTCTCTTCGTCTGCATAGTCTGTTTCCGCTTTGATTCCGCAGGCCTCCCCCGCCCCATTCCTCTTCCCGGAAGCTCAATCCACCGTCCTCCCCGACCCTTCAACCTTCTTCGCCCCAAAACTTCTCTCTACTCCACTCCCCACCAACTCTTTCTTCCAAAACTTTGTCCTCAACAATGGCGACCAACCCGAGTACATCCATCCCTACACCATCAAATCATCCAACTCCTCCCTATCTATCACATATCCGTCTTTCTCCTACACATCTACCGTCATATCCACAGCCCCATTCGAACCCGACCTCACCATATCTGCCTCGAAAACCACCACTGGAAAAGCTCCAAACAACGACCACCATGTAATCTCTGACTTCAATGATCTCAGTGTGACATTGGACTTTCCCTCATCCAACCTCCGCTTCTTCCTTGTCCGCGGCAGCCCCTTTCTTACCTGTTTTCTTTATCGCCCCTCTGCGCTTACTATATCAACTGCTCATACAATTGTCTCATCATCATCAGCTAGTAGCTCAAAAACAAAGTTCATCATCAAGCTCGACAACAATCAGACATGGCTAATATACACATCCATTCCAACTGATTTATCTGACAGCGGATCATCCACACTAAATTTTAAAGCTTTTTCCGGGATTATTCGATTTGCTGTAATACCGGATCCTGACCCAAAATCAGAGGCAATTCTCGATCACTTCAGTTCTTGTTACCCAGTTTCTGGTGCAGCTGTGCTCCAAAACACCAATACTTTGACATATAAATGGGAAAAGGAAGGTGGAGATTTGCTTATGCTTGCTCATCCTCTCCATATTAAGCTTCTGTCCAATGCTACTGTTTTGCAAGATTTTAGATATAAAAGCATTGACGGCGATTTAGTTGGTGTTGTTGGCGGTTCGTGGATGTTAGCATCGAAGCCTATTCCAGTCACTTGGAATTCTGTAAGGGGTGTCCAAAAAGATTCGTTCCCCGAAATCATATCTGCACTTCGTCGAGATGTTGACGCTCTTAGTTCAGCAGAAGCTTCTACTACATCTTCATATTTTTACGGGAAATTGGTTGCTAGAGCAGCAAGGCTGGCTGTGATAGCCGAGGAGGTAGCTTGTCCTGATGTGACCCCGGCGATCAGGACATTCTTGGCGGAGAAAATAGAGCCATGGTTGGATGGCAGCTTTAGTGGCAACGGATTTTTGCATGATAAAAAATGGGGTGGACTTGTTACCAAGCAAGGATTAACTGATCAGGGTGCCGATTTCGGGTTTGGCGTTTATGCTGATCACCATTACCATCTGGGGTACTTTATATATGGAATTTCCGTGTTAGCAAAGATTGATCCTCCATGGAGGCAGAAGTACAAGTCTCAAGCTTACTCGCTCGTGGAGGATTTTCTCAACAAGGATGAACGATCGAATCCAAATTACCCGCGTCTGAGATCCTTTGATCTCTATAAATTGCACTCGTGGGCAGGTGGGTTGACAGAATTCGCAGACGGGAGGAATCAAGAGAGCACGAGCGAGGCGGTCAATGCTTACTACGCAGCTGCTTTGATGGGAAAAGCCTATAAAGATGCGCAACTTGAGGCCACCGGATCGCTACTCACTGCCTTGGAAATACAGGCAGCTCAGATGTGGTGGCACGTAAGAGAGGGCGGAGAGAATCGAATTTACCAGGAAGCTTTCGCAAAGGAAAATCGAGTAGTGGGGGTTTTATGGGCGACCAAGAGAGACACCGGACTTTGGTTCGCTACCGCGGAGGCGAGAGAAATTAGACTCGGAATTCAAATGCTGCCCGTTTTGCCAATCACCGAGGTGTTGTTCTCCGATGCAGGGTATGCCAACGAGCTCGTGAGTTGGGCATTGCCAGCGCTCAATAAAACAGAAGTCACGGAAGGATGGAAGGGATTTGTGCATGCGTTACAAGGGATTTACGACACACAAGGCGCTTTGAAGAAGATTAGGAGCTTGAATAGTTTCGACGACGGAAACTCCCGGAGTAATCTTTTGTGGTGGATTTACAGTCAGTCACAGTAGGTGATCAGCTTTGCTGCATGACATTTTTTCCTGAGGTTAATTTTAGTATGTTTTTTGGGTTTTAGCTAGATTCAAGTTCTTTGTGTAACAAAATTGAATCAATTACAACTCATGTTTATTTTCTTTTCGTACTTGCTGTCGTATTTTAACACGAGAATTGCAATGTTGTTCATTGTTGTTTCATCTGATTGCTGGAGATCATTTAAGAAGGCATACCAAATGGTATTAGACTAAAAGACAAATAAGTTAGCCATAATAATTAGATACGGAATCCAACTCGTCCATGAGTCGAATGTAAAAGCTTTCACTTGGAAGTATTAAAGTATAGGTAAACTGTAGTACTAGCTGCAAGTGATGTAAAGAAAAGACCATGTTACATGTATCAAAGATGTCAAACATACATATAAATAACCAGCTATTTGTCATTTGATACTAAGATTTAATAATATTTTTTATTCATATGTAAGTGAAAAATGTTAGACTTCGTCGTCGTCGTGAAAACAATAAATTAGCCTATTATTTGAGAAAATATAAAATGGAGGCAGAGCCATTGAAACGTGGAAGCCCAAAGACAGAAAACTCCAAGGGCCCAAACAAACTGGCCCGCTTTGTGTAGATAAAGCGCCAACACAGCGCCTCTCTCTCTCTCGCTCACGGGAACGTTCACTGACGGAGAGCAAAGATGAGCACTCTGCTCAGGTTCTACAGACCCTTGTTCCCATACTCGACTCGGAAGATTCAACTCGGAACGCAGCGTTTCCACAGCTTATTGAAGCCCAATAGGAGAATTCGCTGCGTGGCTACTTCCAGCCACTCTCAGCCGTCTATTGTAGGCGGCGGCGGCAGTAAACCGGAGAGTCCAGAATCGTCGGAGCTATGGCTTCACAACACAATGAGCAGGAAGAAGGAGCTTTTCAGGCCCAAAATTGAAGGGAAGGTGGGCATGTATGTGTGCGGAGTCACAGCCTATGATCTCAGCCACATCGGCCATGCGCGCGTCTACGTCACATTCGATGTTCTCTACAGGTCCATTTCTATATAATTAGTTCAATTTCTCGATTTGCGTCTATTTAAATGCTGATTTTAGTGACATTGTTTTGGGAAATAGGCAGATATCTTAGGCATTTGGGATATCAAGTCACATACGTTCGGAATTTCACAGATGTTGATGACAAAGTAAGTTTCTTTTCCCAAATTTGAATATTTCCAGTTACGAAAGATTCGGGCTTTGGTTATGGGTGTGAATTTTGAATAGTTTGTTTGGAATTTAAACTTTTCGACTGATACTACCTTTGGTATGTTTATGCATCCTGTTCAATTTGTTTGGTGTTCTTGGATGCCAATTGTGAGTTTGTTTGGTGTTTCTTAAATGTATTGACGCGGCGTGATTATTTTATGTTACGGAAGTTGGATGCCCAGTACCGATTACTTTCCACATTGGTATTATTACAGGATAGCTGAGAATGCACTTTTCAAATTCTGTAGATAATTGCTAGAGCAAATGAGTTGAGGGAGGATCCTATCAGCTTGAGCAGGCGCTACTGCGAGGAGTTCAATCAAGATATGACCTGTCTGCATTGCCTGCCTCCTTCGGTGGAACCACGAGTGTCCGATCACATGCCACAGATCCTTGATATGATAAAGCAGGTATTTTTTTCCACCTGTGCTTCAGAATCTATTAAAAGTGTCACGTTAGGCTTTTAGCACCTTGGTGGAGTTGTTATAAACTTATAATTGTATTTGTATGCGTTATTAATTTTCAAAACAGGGTTCTCTTTCTCTTACCCATTTCTTGATTTGCTTCCTGAGCAGATTATTGAAAATGGATATGGGTACAGTGTTGATGGGGATGTTTACTTTAGTGTTGACAAGTTCCCAGATTATGGGCGTCTATCTGGGCGAAAGTTAGAAGATAATCGAGCTGGTGAGCGGGTTGCTATTGATTCAAGGAAAAAACATCCTGGTGACTTTGCCATGTGGAAGGTAGTGTCTGTAAACTCACTGAAAATGATGATAATGTATGAGCTTGCCATATCAGAGATGGCATCTTTATCATTTTATTTACATCGACAAAGCTGCCTTGTTCTTAGAAGTTTCATGTTCTTACTATAAAGCATTCATTTGCTTGTTCACACATATACACATACTGTTGTAAAATATGTTAATATTACGACTGGGAAGGAATTAATCAGGTGAGGATTCTGAATGTTTGCAGTCTGCAAAGGAAGGAGAACCCTTCTGGGACAGTCCATGGGGCCCTGGTAGACCCGGCTGGCATATCGAGTGCAGTGCAATGAGTGCTGCTTATCTGGGTTACTCTTTCGACATACATGGTGGAGGGATGGACCTTGTGTTTCCCCACCATGAAAATGAAATTGCACAGAGTTGTGCTGCATGTAACCACAGTAACATAAGCTACTGGATACACAATGGTTTTGTCACCATTGACTCAGAGAAAATGTCCAAATCCCTTGGAAACTTCTTCACAATTCGGCAGGTAAAAGGCATTCCATACTGTTTACATTGGTCAGAACATTTTTTTTCTCTGAGAATTTTTGCCCCAACTTTTATACGGATCAGTACTCTAGCTTTACGAATCAGTCATTCTGATTACGTTTCTAATATATATTATTCTTCTTCCAGGTTATAGACCTCTACCATCCATTGGCTTTGCGACTTTTCTTGTTAGGGACCCACTATCAGTCTCCGATCAACTACTCTGATGCGCTGCTTGAAAGTGCTTCAGACCGGATTTTCTACATTTATCAGGTACCCTAGCATCCCACTTGTCTGGGTGAAGGATAGAAGAAACCTCTCTTTCTCTTTCCCTTTGTCCAACCCAAAATCGAATGCAGATTGAAACACCTGAACTTTGTAGATCACAGTTGATGTTTTGTCAGGTTCAATCTGCAGTGCTTCTTCAGATGTAGTTGCATATTTGCAATAATATGTTTTAGATGCCAACAGGATTTCGAAGGATGCTTAGAACTTTTTACCTATACAGATATTTTTAAATTTGATGTTTACTTATCATCGATTAATATGTTGATTTCATTTTGTTTTGATCAAATTTACTTTTCGTTGCAGGCATTACATGATTGTGAAAGTGCTCTGAGCCAGAATAATGGGGTAACCCTGAAAGATACCATCCCTCCTGATACACTGAACAGCATCAATAACTTCTATAACATTTTCGTAACGTCAATGTCAGATGATCTTCACACTCCTGTTGTTTTGGCTGCACTATCAGACCCATTAAAAACTATCAATGATCTGCTACATACTCGTAAGGTATGGATGATACACCCGTTAACTTGCGATTGAAATTGATTGAATGTGAAACTTTTTTATGTTTAGGATGCCGGTTGTTTTTGATACAAATAATTTAGGGTTAGTTTAGTACTACATACCAAATGAGGATTCAAAGCTTATTGAACCCGAGCTCCTATTTCTCACTAATGAGATAGATTTATACCCTGTTTTGCTACTTCTTTCTCAAATTTCTGGATCTTTGTAATTTATAAATTCATACAGGGGAAGAGGCAAGAACTGCGGATGGAGTCGCTGGCAGCTTTGGGAAAGATAATTAAGAATGTTTTGAGCATTTTAGGACTGATGCCTGCAAGCTACCCGGAGGTACAGAAGTCGTCGGTGCCACAAGAAATCTAGACAGGGTTCTGTGACAAGTCCTGTACTCCGATGCTTCTATGAGTTCCTTGGGCTTATCGCAGAACACCTATCTTTTCTTTTGAATACGGTTTTTTTCTTTCTACAACGCGTGAACTATTTTTATGCTACAGATTCTGCAGGAGCTGAAGGATAAAGCCTTGAAGCGTGCAAAGTTAACCGAAGATCAAGTATTGCAAAAAATCGAGGAAAGAAATGCAGCGAGGAAGAACAAAGAGTATGAAAGATCAGATACAATTAGAAGAGATTTAGCTGCCGTGGGGATTGCTCTTATGGACAGCCCAGATGGAACGACGTGGAGACCTGCCGTACCTCTTGCAATTCAAGAGCAGCAGGTTGCAACTACTTGAAACAGATCCTGCTGTCAGCACTGTCATAATTCTTTAGTATCATACCATGTAGAATTAGGGCATATACAATTTTCTCTCCTATGCAATTCTGAAAAAAATAGGCTTTCACTTTCCGAATGTGAATTGTACGATTGAGCATTCATTCAACAAAGTTTTCGCCGCGAGGCGGTTCCCAATTTTTATAGCTTTATCAACGTTGTGAATTTCAAGTACAAATTCAAGAACGGTGAAGCTATAATATTATTCACTGAGTAAAGAACGCATAAAGTTCATCCTACAAGGTGTCCATGCTATCACTCACATTCAACAGCTATTTCCCACTGCAGTGGGCAGTTTAAAAATTCCAGCCGATCTTCACACATAAAACGAATGATTCTGCACGTCCTCTGCGACCCTCGCAGCACCCTCAGTTGAACATAAGTATGAACATGATGATTCAAACACCCTTCTCATGGTCAAGTAAAAATTGCATGTCCAGATCAGGTTTGTCTTCTACCGAAAGATTTATATCCGCTTTGATCAAGCCAAAGAACACACCTTATCTGGAAAGTTGGAAGAGTTAAATGGCAATTGTCAACACGAGATGCATCCATCAAGTCAAGGGGACGATTTAAGCATATACTTTAATATCAATCTAAAGTGTCCTTTGCTTTATCTTTTAATATTTTCTTTCAAGCTAGTAGACTGAAAGCCATCCATACTTTTATTATTTCCCCACAATCTATTTAAAACTAAAACTGAGGCAAGTTCAGGCAAGATAGGTGATATTTTTGTACAAAAAATAAAAAGAAACCAGCGGATGGAGTAAATTTACCTTGTCTAATGCTACCGCAGCAAAGGCGGTTGTCATCTATATAAGTGGCTTGGATACCCATCATCCATGAACCCACTGATACATCATCATGAGCATAAGTCTTCAATGATGCACTGCATACGAAAGGAAACAGAAATAAATCGCAGGATAATGAAATGCATAAATAAGTCCAACAAACTCACTCTCCCAAGCCACGTTGCATAGAACCTAAGCATACTTGATAACATTGAGAGCCCTTTCCCCCGGCTATAGCTCTAAGAACAAACCTGTTTATGTTTATATACTGAGCTAAGTTCTTGGATAGTATAATGAGGGAACCACCTGCATGTCGGAAGTACCTGAAAGGGAGAGAAATGGTAAGAATGATAAACCAAATCTACCAGTACATAGAACTGTCAAATTTAAACGAAAATCTTCTTAGCCTGTCAGTATATTGTACACGTTTACCAGATAAATACAGAATTGTCAAACTTGTCAATGTCTTTTAATATTAAGCATAACTCGCTCTTGGACAGTTATATTTCTTTCACATGTCAGCATTAAAACAGTGAAACTGAGAATGTTTTATCCTGGACTAACAGTCCAGCCATGACATAATTCTACAAAAGATCACAGACAAAAACAATCTCTCTCTAGATATGCAGAGGCTCTAGTACGAAGTGAATCTTAGGCCATCGGATTTCTTTCCATTGTAACGATTAAAAAAAACTCAAATGACCTCCGTGTGTTGGCGCTTTACTAGAGCCAAATCGTGGGTGTGTGCGCACATATCTGGATCAAGTAATCAACACATAACCAAGTATTAAATACCCACTAGATGATGTTTTCTTCCATAGGTTCGTTCACTTACGATTTCTGATCCCCAAATTTCCACCAGTCAGGTTCATACCAAGACTTTCCCCTGCAGATCAAAACACTTGTATAACCTTACAGACCACAAGATCTACATATATAATTGGAATACAATATCAAGTTGCACGAAGGCATAGGATGGTAAAGTATATACTCTTCAGAAATCACATCTCCTGACTTCATGCATCCGATATAAGCACCATCTTGAGCACGACGATGTTCAAGAAGTCCAATTAGCCCCTCTGTGGTTGGTCAAGAAAAGATATTTTAAACAATGTATGAAAAGTTCTGATGAATAAGTTGATTCTAGTCTTGAATGTTCTCATAAGTTTATCAGAATAGAAGTTCTACCAAGATCAAGATTGATATTGTCATCAACTTTGACATAAAACTCAGCATCCCAATTCTGAACCGCAGTACTGAAGAAGAACTTTGCTTTCTTGGGCATCTCTTCCTGAGCCTCCTCATGACCTTCCTAATATGATAATGTTACAGTTTCAAACTATGCCTTTCTCTTGTCAATAAAATCCAAGTTATCAAATATATAAGAGGAATCCTACAATTATAATTAGATGTTGAACTTTTAGTTATTACGCATTAACAAATATTCAACGTAATAAGCCACTTAGTACTACAGTCTAGTGATATTCTTCTTCACTTATAAGTGAGAGGTGTTAGGTTCGATTCTCGTCAAAGGCGAATTTGAACCACATTATTGCTAGCCCATTGCGAGGCTAAGCCCACCCCCCTCCCCCTTAGTGTGGATAATATCGTTTGTTCAAAAAACAAAAATATTCAACGTAATACAATAAAAGCCTAATCACAACATATGGACATAACTTCCACTATGCATCCAATAAACTGACTTCCAAAAATTTAGCTAAAGAATTTACCCGCATACATTTAATTGGCATCACAAGTTATGTACCATAATATCACAATTGTGTGGCTACTACAGTCTTGTTAAAAGATTGAACAGATATGTTTTTAGTAACCCTGAGATTGTATTGCTTACAAGAATTAAGAAATCCTTTGTCGAACCACTTTCCTTATCAATATTCCGATCTAAGCTATCACCCCGATTGGCACTGCAAGTTAAAAGCACAAAGATTATGTGAAGAGTGTGCCCATAACTACCACAGGTACAACACTTTAGTATAGTGACTCTACCAAGCAAATAAATGAACAATAAGAATCAGGAAAGCATAGTATTACTATTAACATTGAGATTAAAGTGAGAGGAAAAACCTCCGACCAATTACAAAGCGTATAACTACTCCTCTTTCTTCTAGCTTCCTCAAAGCATCACCTGCAAAGGCCAATAGGAATGTCCAATAGTTGTTAGTGAACAAGTTTAATTTTTCCTTAAAATGACCGCAGTAATCACGAATCCACATTATCCACCACCTCAGCTACATGCACGCAGGTGTTGTTGAACACTGGGTGTTTACCATGGTAAATTCAATTCAGTTAACCTGCAATTGCTGCCTGATATAACCCAATAACTACACCAAAATGATTGTCTTAGTATGCATATCTAACAGCTTTAACTTGATTCGTACCGTACAACTTATTCTAGCCTCCGTTAGTCAAAACAGGCCATGGGAGTGCCTGAATGAGCACTATGGGATTATGACAAATACCTTGACTTTCACAAAGGGACTATTTTAATAGGATGAAACTTAAAACTCAAACCAGAGGAGTCTTAAGTAAAAAGATTGAGAATCAACACTTAATCTGAATTCAAGCGATGCCAGCATAAAGTTTAATCAGAGAAGGAACACATGGTAAATCTATATAAATTGCCATCAGAAATTCCAACTGACCTTTAGGCATCCAAGACCCTCTAAACATATTTCGGTTTAAATGACTACCAAATCCAGTATAAACTCCAACAACAGCAAGCAATCGGCCAGAAGAAGACGCCTTTTGTTGCAAGTGGTTCTTGAGGTACCCTTGACTCTTGGCCAGTGTCAAGTCCATCTCAGCTTCCACAATCCTCCTCTCCAGGTCCCTATAAATCAGTACCATTATTACCGACACTAAAACTAGGCACAACTCAAATAAACCGAATAAAGAGAAATGAAAAGTAGGAGCATACTTGCATCCAAGCACTGCTAACTTGTCTTCTACCGTAAGAACCTTTGGTCTCTGAAATATTACAGAAGTAATATCGAATTAAAGACAAAATTCACCAATTTTCGCAATTTTTCATCTCGCCCGGTTGGATTAACTTGGGGATCAAAATCGAAAAATGCAAAACTTTTAGACTAAAGTTTGAAACAAAAGAGCAGCGTGCTCCACTCTACACCCAAGTTCGAATCCCGCTCCCATAGTTTATATCAAATAACTACAAAATCTCGCTCGAATAAAAAAATTTCTGAAATCAAACCTGGCCCAAGTTCTTCTTTAGAAGATTAGAAAGCACTGTTCTGTTCTCCGCATCCTGCCACAACCTGCATTTCCCAAACAACAAGTCATCAACTTTGATAATTAATTACCATTAACTCTTAACACGATATCGAACCACTAAATCGTATCAGATCAAACAGAAAGCTCAGGAATTTGAATTCGAATAGTAAATTTTGAAAAATCAAAGCTGAAAGAGTCCGTTTTTGGAAACAATTTTGAAACGCACCGGCCGGCGACGTAGAGCCAAGCGACGCAGGAGAAGAATGCCATGAGAATGGATGGCTTGGAGGTCTGCAGGGGCTTCGATCGCCATCGCCGATCTGATTTCGTCGTCGTCGGCAAACCCTCCATCTCCGATTCCGAATCAGCAGAGAGGAGACCGCGAAAAGACCAGAGCAATGATTTGGGCGAGATATTGGAGGTGCAGATTTATGAGAATGATTCGGACAGGGATTTATGAAAATGACGTATCAGATTATATGCAGAATTTGGAAGGCATCTAAATACTGAAATCTAAATTTTGAAATTTCGGAGAGATAGAGAGAGAGCTTTGGTTGGAAATTTGGAGCGGTTACTTTTTAGGGCCGACGACTTAGGTCTGGGCGTCTGAGTGGTCCAGTTCAGTTTAATGTTGGGCCTCCAAGTTTTATGAGTCTTCCTTTTTTACAAGAAAATTCTAAATTTTTTTTAATGTATACGATATTCTACGCTTTACATTAAGTGGAGGAGGGAGGTTTGAACCCGAAACGCAACGGTTTGAAGAGAAAAGTTTTAACCACTAAGGCAATTCATCATTTGCTATATTCTAAATTATTTAATTTACATGGAAATTGATCCAGACTTTGGATGACAGGTACAGTGACACTGTCTTGAATTCACATATCATATTGCGCTGGTGAAGTGCTCAACACATGCAAGCCAGACAATAAGCGGTGGTTTTTGTGGCAAAAAATAAGCAAAGCGTAAGAACCGAACCTACGGGAGGGAGGTGTAGTCAAACTAAGATTTTAAAGGATTTTGAAAGTGATGGATTTTATAGAATTTAAGAGGATTAAAGACTCATACAAAATTTATATGGATTTTAAAGAATTTAAATGGATTGTGGTGGAAGGATTTGAAATTGTGAGGTTGGATTCTTTTTAGTCTTGGTTATATATACTTTTTGCTCTCAAATCTCACAAAACCCACAACTTATTGAAATCCTCCAAAATCTTAATTTTTTTAATACACTTAGATTTGGATGGATTTTAAAATCCTTTAAAATCTTTTAATTGACTACATTAAGATTTTAAAATTTTCTAAAATCCGAGTTTGATTACACCTCTATTTTGAGTAAACAAGCCCTGATATTTCAGGAATGAGAATAATGCGCAAGGATTTCTATTCTATTTATGGTAAGTAAACACGTCATAAAAGTAACGAGAATAATGTCTGGTAAGTAAACACGTCATAAAATTAAAAATAATGTGATACTGGACATCTGCCAAACATTATTCTCATTGAATTGCAAGTGGAGTAAGCAATAATTAATAACACCGTTAACTACGACCGGCTGGTTTGTCCGCAGCACAAGACTGAATCGTCAAAACGTTTTATAGAATCAAAGACGACGCTAAAGCATCAAATACAGAAACAAAAATGTCTTACGAACATCACGATCATAGCCAAAAGAGAAAAAAAGTCGGACCAATTCGTAATATTTCTTGGAATTTCTTTCGTAACCATAAAGATAGTCTCCCAGCTTCTGAACAGGAAAATATAAGTCCTCCATTGCAGAGAGGGTTCCTACTTCTCCATCTTTCTCTAACTCCTCGCGGCACCAGGTAACAAACTTGCCAGCGATGGAACCCCTTGGTTTCTCATTTCTTCTTGTGTTCGCCTCATTTCTTCGGGATCTGTGGTCAATATAAAGGATACTTATGGAGGAACTCTTACAAACGTATACACTACCAAAGTATACTACCGTAAACAGGCATGATAAGACAAAAAAAGGGGATGAATATGAAGGGCATGTGTAATATCAACACAGATGGCATTCATTGGTATCATTGGACGAGATGAAACCACAAGCGATCCACATACAGAAGTAAACAATCAGAAGTTAAAAGGTAACAATCAAGTACTTTTTAATTATGTACAGTCATCTAACGAGTAATAAGTCAAAATTTGAGTAAGGTAAGAAAATATGTTTTAGCTATATGCCCTAGCTCTCAGAACAGAATTCAGGCATGCGAGTCCCTATGGATTATATTGATGAAAGTAAACTCTAAAGCAAATCAGAGCCTTAATCCCGTGGACGGAATTTAAAAAGCTATACCAAGCATAGATCACTTACCCATGTTCTCCACTAATTTCGGCATAAGAAACACGACAATTAGCATAAATCCAACCATCAGTCCCATGGGGCTCTTTACAAGAGCCATTATGGAGAAGGGTTCTCTTATCTGCAATGAAACAAACATGACATGAGGTGAAAAATTCATAACGATACAGAAATGTGGTGAAACATATAAAGAAGAATGAGAAAAACGAAACCAACCTCGTAATACTGTTCCTCTCTCAATGGCTCCAAAACAAACTCATTCAGTGGCCTCCTATTCTCAGTCAGTGCTGCCTGAACCTTGCCTGGGTTTCTAGCACTAACATCAACTCGGACCTTAACATTTTTACAAAAATGAAAACATGGGGATATCAGATTTGTGATACTTTCATCTCAAGAGGTATAAAAGAGGCACTTATATAGAAGAGTCTCACCGGAGAAAAGAAATAGCCTATCGCAGACACTTCGATCAAATGAGTCCCCGCAGGCACATTATGGCTTTAAGAACACATGTTAAGGAAAGATGGTATACATAATAATAAATATATCATGTCTTGATTTTCTCTTAGGGGATAAAATATCATACACATATACACAAGGCACATACAAAGACAGCATCAGAAATATACTTATCAAGATAACCAAATAGGATACAATGAAAAAAATCCATCAGGCCTCAGAAAGGTAACATTTTGACCACCATTTAGTATGACTTTGATATTTGATATCTTTCCATAAGGTGCAAACCCTTTCACCCCGAGACCTGCATACAAAATTTGTGAGTTATACACACCAGAATGAAACGTACAACAACTTTTTGCTTGGAAGAAATTAGAGTTCAATATCGGTAAGTTAAGTGTAGAGCGTAATTCAGACTACTAACCCTCCTAGAACTAACACAAATTTAGCTAGCAGTCCACACTGGAACCACTCATCCAAAATCAGGGTAAAAATCCTTAACCTCACAAACTACCTGAACCGATCAAATTAACACGAAACCAGTCCTATTCCACAAGCCCTAATCGGTTTACATCTATCTCCTCATCCCAATACAACAACAAAGCAATCAAATTTAAGACATTTCACAGCCTAACCCTTCCTTTCGAATTCGGAATCAAATTTAAGACTTTTCACAAACTACCCGAACCGATCAAATTAATTTAACTAACTATTTGTTTCAATTAACACGAAATTTTCACCAAAACTGCACGCTAAATCACAAATTTTCAAACTTTTCTGTAAAACAAAAGGGTAAAGAAATACAATCAACAGGAAGGTAAACTCAATTGAAAGACTTACTGGGTGGGATCTTTACTCGGCCATGAATGGTGTATCCGTCGGCAGAGCTGCAACAGATAATTTAATTAGAAATTTGAAGAAAATTAATTTCGAAATCGTCGATGCATCGTATTTAGTTTGGGTAAAGAGAAGAACTTTTCAATCGTACTCGGGAGAAATTGCGAGTGACGAAGAGATGAGCGAAAAGCACAACTGTAGGAAAAGCACGAGAACCACCGGATTGGATCTCCAGCTCCGCGCCATAACGAAACACTGAGAGAGCGTTTGCGAGAGTTTCACAGTGTTTTTGTGTGAAATGTGAGAGAGAGAGACAGAGTTGAGAGGGATCTGGTGGTTACGGAATTTGCTAAATTGCTGTGGCCGGCGAAATCAGGTCCGTACTTGTTTACTTTGATTGAATCCGTATTGTGCAGTGAGTTCTTTTACATCACACCAATAACAACACGCCATATGTTCATTATTCGAAATTCAACTTTTTTATTATTCTTTTTTACTCAATGTAGGTGACATTGCAAAAATTGTACACGAAAATTTTTTTTTTTCAAGTACCCGAAATATTAAGCATAGTGTGAATTATTCACAAAAAATTGTGGCTCTATTACTTAAAAATTTGACAATAGTCACTTAGTTGTACAAAATAAGACAGATAAAGACTTATAAATAACGAATGAGATGAGTAAAAATAATATCTAGCATCCAACAATTTATTCACTAATAAAGTTTTACTCGCCTAAGTCACCTCATTATGGAAAACTAATGTTAGTTACTATTGTCAAGTTTTCTTGTAATGTGCTTATCGGTTTGGAGTTGATAGATCCATTATGATAATGATCGACTGATTCGGGTAAAACTTTTTAGTAAATCAAACAGAGTCAATAAACCTAGATTATGACATTGGACTTGTTTTTCAATTTTTCTTGCATTCAACTTGATATATTGAAGATGTAATTACTTATTTTGTTCTTAAAGAGTCAATCACGACCTTAGAAGAGCTTTAAAATCAGCCTTTCGTTAACCGTTCACTTGTTAACAAGTGTTTCAAATTCAGGTTGGTCATTCTCCATCCGTTAGCAAACGCTTTGTTAACGGGTCCATCCATTAGCAAACACTTTGTTAATGGGTCCAACCGCTTACAAAATGATTTTTTTGATGGTGACCCGTTAACAAAGCGGTCTGTAGTCAACACAACACGAATACAGAAAGAAAGAAAGAGAAAAAAACCAACCAACCATTGGCAGAGTGCGTGAAATGAGATTTTACTTTGATGGTGAAAAAACAAGTATGATGAAAACAATTATATTCAGTGCCTTCTCTCCCTCTCCACAAACCAACCGACCCACATTGAAGACAAACTTTCCTACTCGTAAACTCAACAACTTGAAGTCCGATCAGAACGGAAGAGAGAAAAAGGCTCCATAAAAGAATCAGGATTCTCAACAAATCAGTCTTCGATAAAATGCTATAATCCCAACTTCTTCGAGCACCAATCCGAAAGGTTAGCTATTACAAATCCTGCAAATACCTGCAGAAGCAACAAAAAGGGTTCATAGATGCAACAGGACATAAGTTCGAATACGTATATTGCTAGTGAGAGATCATTGTCTCCAAAGGTGAGTGTGAAATGCTGAAACCAAGCGCCTTCCGGAAAGAAGTTTAACAAAGGTACTTCACTAGTAACTACGGATGCTAAATAATTCAAAAATATAATGCTTATTCATGAAAGCATCATACCTGAACAGAACCAAGTATGTAAACTGCTGAATAATGACGGCCATGGATGAACATGTCAGCAACCATAGCAAGGGGAATGGTGAGCGACATGCCCAAGGTGGCAACGAGTGGAGTTGTCCACACAACACATAGTGCCCTGTCAGAAGTTTTTACTTATTGGTCAAATAGAAAAGCGGAAGATTAAAACAAGAAGTCTG